TAGAAGTGTCTTTGACAAGAAAGAACATTATAATGCCGAGCCCTGCCACAGGGACCGCCTGGGAGGCATTTTAAATGCATTTAAGACTCTTTCTGTTCACAATCATTGCCCGACCCACAAATCCCTTCTGGCAGTAGCAACACTGGGCCCCACATGATCCTGAGGGCCCAGGTCTGCAAAGCAAGGGCCAGGCCAGCCCGTTCTCCCTGAACCTGTGGAATTTTTTTTTTTTTGGTGGGGGGTGGAGTGGGCCTATCCCACCTCCCAGCCTCTACCACTGAAGGTAGGAGTGCATCATGAATCACTGGGAGACTCCCAGATGGAATTTGCCCTTATGGCAGGAGGGGTGTACTGAGCAGGGCTTCCCCCTGGCATGTGCCCAGCTGCTCTCCTGTAGCCTCCAGGCATCACAGAGCTGTATGTCATCAGCTGTCCTTTCCCAGGACCTGCCCTGAAGCTGAGAGTCACCTGCCTCATTGTCAGGGAGCAGGTAGGAACCTGTGGTTCTCTTGGGACCCAGCCCACTGAGCTGTCTGCCTGTGCTTCCAGCTATTAGATGCCACTAGGGGAGGCTTTGACCTCCTAGGCCACTGGGAAAGGAGAATAGCATTGGGTGTGTGTGGGAAGCTCTGCTGTGGCCCCTCAGGAGACTCTGGTGGTTGGGGCCAGCGAGTAGTGGTCCAGTTGTGGCACTCCCTCTCCAGTATTCCGCAATGTGATTTTTTCGGGGACCTCCTTAGTTTCCCCTACCCCTGGCAGTGTGAAATTCTTGGTAGCTACAGGGAGAGGATATATAAAGAATTACAATATAAGCCCTGCTTCCCAGAGGTCATGGCCCTCCCTCTTCCCATACCCACCTCTTCTATGGAGGGGCTTTCCATGAATGACCTTCCCTTCCATTCTTGGGCTACAATCTATCAATCCATCAGTGCGGGGCAGTGGAGCATGGCAGCCCTACCATGGGACGGGCAGGACCAGAACAATATTACATTTTATGTCCTTCCAGGACCAGATGAAGGCTTGCTTCAGGTTGGCTTTCCCATCTTTGTTGTCGTTGAGGTTCTCTTTGAGAAGCATTCCGCAGTGCAAGAAGCCTTCTCGTTTTCTTATCACTTTGGAGCCCCACGTGGTCTTGCCTATTGCGTTTGCCTCCCTCCTGTTGCGCTTCATTGCTTTCCCAAATCCCAGAGGAGAACCCATGCAGCTGCCTAATAGACATCTTCTGCTGGTGCCTGGAAGAGGGGCTGCTGTGAGGAAAGTGGGACCTAGGTGGGAATTAACTGATTGAAAAGATAAGTCAGTCACGCGGGAGTATAGGGTTTCTGGTATCTGCTTTGTGTGTTGATATTTTTGTGCATTGTAGAGTTATTTGAGTTTATCAATGTGTTTTAAACATTTTAGCCTGTTTACTCATCTTTTTAAAAATTTGTACTTTTTTGATTGTGGAAAAACAAACATAACATAAAATTGACCATCTTAAACTTACATTTTAAGGGTACAGTTCATTAGCAATAAGAACATCCACAGTGTTCATGGTGTTGTGTAACCATCACCACCATCCAGCCACAGAACTTTTCCATCATCCCAAAGTGAAACTCGGAATACCCATTAAATAATAATTCGCCATCCCATCCCCAGCCCCTCGCAACCCTCTTTCTACCTTGGGTTCTTATGAGTGTGACTACTTTAGGTTTCCTAGTAAGTGAAATCATACAATATTTGTCTCTCTGTGACTGGCTTATTTCATTTAGCATAATGTCCTTGAAGTTCATCGTGTGTCAGAAAATCCTTTCTTTTTATCTTTGCTGCCTGTACCTCAGATAGGGTAATAATTTCCAGGATATATAAAGAATTTTAACTCCCCCCCAAAAATCAAATAATCCAGTCAATAAATGGGCAAAGGAACTGAACAGACACTTCTCAAAAGAAGAAATAGGAATGGTCAACAAATATATGAAAAATATTCTCTAGCAATTAGAGAAATGCAAATTAAAACTACACTGAGATTTCATCTCACTCCAGTCAGAATGGCAATTATCAATAATACAAGTAACAATACATTTTGGTGAGGATGTGGGGGAAAGTACACACATATTGTTAGTGGGTCAGCAAATTGGTACAACTACTCTGGAAAGTGATATAGAGATTCCTCAAAAAACTAGGAATGGAACCAGCTAGTTTTACCCAGCTATCCTACTCTTTTGTATATATCCAAAGGATTTTAAATCAGTGTATTACAGTTATACAGCCACATCATGTTTACAGCAACTCAATTAACAATAGCTATGTTCCCATGAACAGATGAATGGATAAAGAAAATGTACTGTATATACATAATGGAGTATTACTCAGCCATTAAGAAGAATGACTTTATGACATTTGTTAGTAAATGATGGTCCTGGAAATTGTCATCCTAAGTGAAATAAGCCAGTCCCCCAAAGCCAAAAGTTGAATATTTTCACTAATAACATGGAAGCTAACCCACAATAAAGAGGGTAAGGAAAGAATGGGAATTCAATAAATAGGCAAAGGTGAATGAAGAGAAAGAAGAGGAGATAGGAAAAGGAAAGACAGTGGAATGAATCTGTCATAATTTTCCTGTATACACCACAGTGAATCCCACCATTGTGTACATCCACAAGAATGGAGGTCCTAATTAGAATAAGATATATCTAATGCTTGTATAATTATATCAAAATGGATTCTACTGTCATAAATAACATAAGGTAAAAAATAAATAAAAGAATTTCCTTCCCTTTTTTTAGGAGGTGTGATACCAGGAATTAAACTCAGGGGTACTCATCCTTCTGAGCCCCATCCCCAGCCATATTTTGTATTTTATTTAGAGATAGGGTCTCACTGAATTGTTTAGCACCTTGCCATTGCTGAGGCTGGCTTTTAACTTGAGATCCTCCTGCTTCAGCCTCCTGAGCCACTGGTATTATAGGTATGCACCATCATGCCCAGCAAATTTCCTTCCTTTTTAAGGTAGAATAATATTCCATTGTATATACCATATATAGCACGTTTTGTTTATTTATTCATCCACTGATGAGCATTGGGGTTGCTTCCACCTTTTGGCTATTATGAATAGTGCTGCTATGAGCATGGGTGTGCAGAAGTCTCTTTGAGACCTAACTTTCAGTTCTTTTGAGTCTATTCCCAGAAGTGGAATTGCTGGGTCTGATGGTAATTCTGTGTTTAATGTTTTCAGGAACCACCACACTGTTTCCTACAGTTTGCTGTTCCATTTCATTCTCATCAATGGCGAGAAAATTCTTACTATTAAATAAAACACTCTTATTATGAAAATCATTGGACATACCCCAAATTGCAGCACAGTTCATGAAGCTCCTTTGTAGACTCATCCAGTCACAGTCAAGGTCAATATTCCAGCTTCCTCATTGCAGCTGCACCTCTGCCAATAACCACACTGGGGTTTTATCAGTTTTTTAAGGCAAAATTTGCAGAGGTCGAAATGCACAGATATTAGCTGCACAATGTTGACAGATGGATATGGCCACATGACCTACCTCCTTATCATTTACATTTCCCAGAAAGTCCCCTCCTGTCATTCCCAGGCAGCCAACCCTATCCCAACCCAACAGACAACCAGTCTAATAAATTACCTAGAATCAGACCTTGTGTCTTCGTTCTGTCTGACTTCTTCAGCATGGCATGATTTCCATGAGATCCATCCAGACTGTTATACCAGTAGTTCATCCCTTTATATTGATATCATCCCTTTATATCATGGTATAGCACTGAGGCTCTTTCTAGCTCTCAGCTATTCTGAATAATCCTGCATTTACAATTATGTCATTTGATGGATGGATGTTTTTTGTTTCTATTGGAAAATGGAATAGAGTTCTGGGTCATATAGTAAGAACGTGTTTAAAGGTTGACTACTTCGTTAGGAAGTTCTTTCTTTGTTTCGGGCAGTTGTTGCCTGTCCTGCTTGTCTGTCAGCATCTCATACCCTTGAAAATGCTAGCTCTGTGTGGTTTATTCAGAAGCCACTGTGAATGCGCCACTTGTGTGTGACTCAGGTGTTATGACACTTGGGTAATTAAATAATGATACTGAAGCAGTTTTATACTTCCTCCCCTTTGTCCCTCCTTTTCCTTTTTTCTGTTTTAATGTAGTGTAATTTTAGTCAGTGTTTAGGTACACAAATAATTCTGTGTTCACATTCTTTGGACTAAAAGTTAGAAATTCCTGCTAAGCCAAGCTATGGAACCAAACCTAGGTGCCCTACAACAGATGAATGGATAAAGAAAATGTAGTATATATACATAAGAGTATTACTCAGCCATAAAGAAGAATAAAACTATGGCATTTTCCAGTAAATGGATGGATGTGAAATAAGCTAAATAAGCCAGTCCCCAAAATACCAAAGGCAGAATGTACTTTCTGGTATGTGGATGCTAACCCACAACAAGGGAGGGGAAAATTAGAAGTTCTTCAGACTAGACAAGGGGGAATGAAGGGAAGGGAGAGGGATGGGAATAGAAAAGACAATAGAAGGAATTGGACATATCTTTCCTATCCTTATATATGAGTACACAACCAATGTAACTCTACATCATATACAGCCACAATAATGGGATCCGATTTGGAACAAGTTATACTTGTTGTGTATATGTATGTCAACGTATACCCTACTGTCATGTATATCTAGAAGGAACAAATTTTAAAAAGACCATTATTAAAATATCTGATCATTTAAGAAGTATTAATTTCATGACTTGCAAAAAGAAATTATTTATGATCCTTCAAGATATCAGGTAAATATATATTAGTAGAGTTAAACTATAGAAACTCATATTACTTTACATGTTTTTATACATTATTAAAAAAGACTTTAAAATAAATTCTGAATATACAAAAAAAAGAAATTCCTGCTAAGATCAGAGTTTTAAATTAATGATGTTTTATTTTTAACCCATGAAGAAACCATTATTTCCACCCTCCCTCACACACTTCCTTGCTTCTTGTAGCTCCCCTGGGCCTCTACTTCTCTAGAGATGCTTACTGGGAGAGGTTGTATGTGGACCAGCCAGCTGGCACGCCCCTGCTCTATGTCCATGCCCTCCGAGATGCCCCTGGAGAGGTGCCCAGCTTTCACCTGGGCCAGCACCTCTATGGCTTCCATCGCCCACGGCTGCATGAGAATAACTGGATCCGTGTCCAGGAGGACACTGGCCTTCTCTACCTCAACCAGAGCCTGGATCACACTTCCTGGGAGAAGCTCAGCATTCGCAGTAAGAGAGCACACCCCACCTCTGCTTCATCCTCAAGCCACCCTTCCCAGGGCTTTTGTGGATAAGGGTATAAGGGGCAAGGTGAGGCTGGTTGCCAGGCAAGGGACTCCCATAAGTTTGGGGCACTGATGATCCTTTGACCTGCAGAAGTTACAAGCTTAGAGACCACTGGGAATGATTTGGGTACTCTCTCCAGGATTCAGAAGCCTTTTTCAGTGAGGTTAACCGTGAGCTTATGAAAGAAGGATTCAGAAGGGTTGGGGAAAAAATCCCAAGGATTTGATTTAGCTGATGACCTGGAACTTGCTGGAGAAGAAGCAGTTCCCAGAAAACCTATCTTCCCACTGACAGCAGACTCCCCTTATACCTGGTGGGGACTCAGTCCTGGCCAAGGTATCCAAGGAGGGAAGCAGAGCAAAAGGAAGACCTGGCAGGCTGCACAGACCAGGAGTCACAGTTGCAGCCAAGGCCACATGTGACCATGGCCCCAGGTGAGGTGGAGATACATCACAATGCTTTGTGGTATGAAATGTTGATTACATACCCAGTAGCTCCCCCTTCCTAATATCGCCCTGACGCATGGCCTCACTCAACCTTACAATGGCCCTGAGCCCCTGTCCATAGGTGAGAGGCAGGTCATATGTCACAAATACAGAACAAGTGACACTGCCTAGCATTGGAAGAATGACTGACCAGTACTCCATGGCAGTCAAGGTCACACAATCCCTTGGTGTGGAGTAGGGGAGGGATGGGCAGTTCTCTTCCAGGGCAGTTCCTGGAGGAGGGGGCTATGATATGGGCCTTGTTTCCATGTACACTTAGTTGCCGCCATCTTCCTCTTGAGCCCCCAGTAGGAATCTTGACGAACTCTAGAGATCCCTAGTGGGGATCAGGGTGGAATTTGTTATGGGCCTCTGTTTCTTCAGAGCCCTGAGCCATGCACTGCCTAATTGAGCTAAGATCCAGACCTTGTTGAAGTTACTGTGGTTCCTCGGTGGTAGAACCTGATAGAAATTCCCCTGTAGGTGCTGGGGAAGTCTAATCACAGGATATGTCAAAAACAAAATCACCTGGGGAAGTTGTGGTGTGTGGGGAGTGCTGCTAGTCACCATATACTGTAGGAGCCAACCCTGAGAAGCTGTCCACCTGCCGGAGGTCCGGGAACATTAAACCTAGTGCTCCGAGGCTCCCTGAGGAGGGTCATTTGAAATGAGAGCTGAATTGCAAGAGGGTTGGGCTTGGGGGGCACTGGTGCTCCAGGCCCTAGGATCCAGCCAGCAAGATGGGGAGGTGGCGACTGGGGCTGGGAGCCCAGCAGAGTCCTGTGGACCACAGCTCTTGCCCCTTTCCATTCCCCATGACTTTTTCTCTCCCTACAGATGGTGGCTTCCCCCTGCTCACCATCTTCCTCCAGGTCTTCCTGTCATCCACACCCCTGCGTGAAAGTGAGTGCCAGTGGCCGGGTTGTGCCCGCGTGTACTTCTCCTTCTACAACACCTCCTTCCCAGCTTGCAGCTCCCTCAAACCCAGAGAGCTGTGCTTCCCTGAGACGGGCCTCTCCTTCCGCATCCGGGAAAATAGGCCCCCTGGCACCTTCCATCAGTTCCGCCTGCTGCCGGTGCAATTCTTTTGCCCTAACATCAGTGTGGCCTACAGGCTTCTGGAAGGTGAGTGCCTGCCTCATGGCGCTGCAAGCCAGATGCAGTGCTGTGAGCACTTAGCATAAGCCATCTGGTTTACTGTCCACCACTATTTAACATTCCAGAAATATCTCTTGGATGTCTGCTGTGGGCCGGATACTGTTCTAGGAGCTAAGGAAGCAGCAGTGAATAAACAGGCTGGCATTCTACCTGCTAGGAACTTCCCTTTATACGAGAGATAGAACCTGTGAACATACCAAAGAAATCAGATGGTTTCTAGAAAAAAATGAGGTGGGAGGAAAAGCAAGGAGACAGGGAGTGGGGAGTGGTGGAGACCACTATCTTTAATTAGGTGGTTGGGGCAAGGGCCCCTGAGCAAAAGTGAGTCCGTGCCAGGTGGGACAGATCTTGCCCCTTGGAGGGTACCACAGTGGGACCCTGTGTCATCCATGTGGAGTGCAGAAGAGCAGAGGTTGATGGGAACAGGGTAGGTCCAGGTCTGGGAGCAACTTTCAGATCTGTGCACCCTGAGGGACACAGGGAGTCTCTGTAGAGCCTGTGGCAGTGCCAGGCATGGAGCAGCCTTATCCCATCTGCTGGGGAGAAAACTGAGGCAGGGAGGCAGAATGACCCATCTAAAGTTACAAGGCAAGAGGTATAGAGCTGGAATGCAAATCACAAGTAGGGAAATATTTGTGCATTAACATCAAATCATATGCCAAATGTTCACCGTGTTTGTTTTCAAGTGGTAGAACTATTGGCTCTATTTCTCATTTTCTGAAATGAGCAAATATTATTTCTGTAATTTAAAAGTTGCTAAATATTTTTTAAAAATGAGCCATGGCCTGGAGCTGGCTCTTTGGACCTGCAGGCTCCCCACACAAACCTACTCCAGATGGAAGCTGGGGGTAAGATGGTGTGAGTGCATCCCAGGCCTTTCCTGTCTAATCAGGGAAAAGGATTCTCACACTGCTTCCTCTCCATCAGCCTGAGTGAAAGCCAGAAAAAAACAAAACCACACATCGCTGCAAATCTGGGCTTGTGACACAGGGCTCCCTGCCCCTATGGAACCAGGAAGGTGGCATACAGAGCCCTCCCACGAACCAACTCCTCTTACTACCAGCATGCCTATGAGTTCTGGCAATGACTGCAATGCCCCACCCACCCACCCATTCAGCTGCTCTGGGTGGGACCCTGAGGAAAGCAGTTCACCCTGTGCTCAGCCAGGTGGTCACTTGGGCTTCCCGTCTGCTTGGTGTACAGGTGAGAGTCTGCCCTTCCGCTGTGCTCCGGACAGCCTAGAGGTGAGCACGCGCTGGGCCCTGGATCGTGAGCAGCAGGAGAAATATGATCTGGTAGCCCAGTGCACCGTGCGCATTGGAAAGCATGAGGAGGAGGTGATGGTGCCCTTCCCTGTGACCGTGTATGATGAGGACGACTCGGCCCCCACCTTCCCTGGAGGTGTGGACACCGCCAGTGCAGTGGTCAAATTCAAGCGGAAGGAGGTGTTTGTCTTGCACCTGCATGTCTGTCATTCCCATTCTTTCTGTTTGTTGTCTGTATCTCCATCCAAAGTTTATCCCTTGGTCTTTTAGCCATCCAACCATGTGACTGTCCTTTCATTTGTCCCTCTGTCTGTCAGGCTGTCTGCCTACCAGCAGCCTGCTGGGTCCCAACTTGAGAGCCAGGGTACCCTTTGTGCCCAGCTGGAGTCTGACCAGGTGTGTCTGGGGCACACTTTTGATCACCTGTGCCTCTGCACCCCAGCAGGGCTTCTTGCCAGGCGAGGATACACTTCCAAGAAGGCCTTCCCCATGCCCGTGCATAGGTAACCACCCTTGCACAGGAGGGCCTTTAAGGCATAAGGGAAGGAGCTGGGTATTGGAAAGACTGGATTGAAGATCCTGCTGAGATCTTTCTGCATTGCCCAGGCGGATCCCTGCCCCACCCTTTTCTGTCCTGGGGTGATGGAGCGCTACTGCCACCTGCTGGGTCTCAGACCATAATGCAGTCAGTCCTATCCGCAGGCGCAATGGAATGGAGAAGCTGGAACCACCTTTGCCTTGTGTTGCCTTTTCCTGCTTCTCTGGGCACTGCAGGTCCCCCTGCACTTTGGGGACCTGGAAGAGAACTGTTAGCACAGCACTTGGGCACCTGATCTGAGCCTCCTTACAGGAAGTGCCTCACACCTGTTGTACAGTTGAGGCAGAGTCACCCAAGGAAAGTGACTAGGCCAGCTGGCAAGTGGTCCCATGATGACTAAAACCCAGGTTGGTCAGTCTACAGGGTTGGCTCTGACAGCGCTCATCTGGTCCATTTGTGGGCTGTGCCACGTCATATGTCCTCCCAAGGACACCTACTCTGACTGATGCTCTCTTTACTCCACAGGGCACCGTGGTAGCCACCCTCCGTGTCTTTGATGCGGATGTGGTGCCAGCATCTGGGGAACTTGTAAGGCGGTACACAAACACGCTGCTCCCTGGAGACCCCTGGGCTCAGCAGATCTTCCGCGTGGAGCATTCGCCCAACGAGACCTTAGTCCAGGCCAACGGCAGCTTCGTGCGGGCAACTGTGCATGACTATAGTAAGGATGGCTGGTGGCACATAGCTCTTCCCAGGGCCTCAGGGCTGGCTGAGCTTACCTCCCTTGAGACCACACAACACACGCACATACCCCATATACTCACCACACAATACCCCATACACATAACACATACTATGCATATGTAGTATACACACCACACACACTACTATGCATTGCATACATATACCATGCACTCACCAAAACATACACATAGCACAAATATACCACACACATCTCCACATCACTCACACTTTACATATAAACACAGCATACATCCTATCTACACACACTACACAATGCCCTGTACACAGACACCTTTTATACAAAGCACATATGTATAAGCACTGCATAAATACACATAAACCACTCACCCCATACACATTAACACAAAAAATATGTACCAAAATACATAACACCCTGTACATACATGAAACAATCAGGACACATATACATACTCCACACACACACACACACACACACACATACACAACACACATTTTACGCATACACAAATTCTCATCCATGCACACACAGGCCACCATAGCAAAGAAAGTTTGGGCTTCCATCTCAGTAGTATAGCCAACATTTAAATATTGGTTTTAACTGAGGGCTGACCATCAGACATGTTGTTTGGGACCATGCATGAAAGTAGCTGTTTGCACACATGTGTTCAGGGCTGCATGTCTGGGAGGAGGTGTGCTGTGCCATGGTGTTAGGGATCCATCCCAAACCAAAGCAGCTTGATTGTCATCATCATGTTCCCTACTCACAGAGCTGGTTCTCAACCGGAGCATCTCCATCTCAGAGAACCGATCCCTGCAGCTCACTGTGCTGGTCAATGATTCAGACTTCCAGGGTCCAGGGACAGGTGTTCTCCTCCTCCACTTCAATGTGTCAGTGCTACCTGTCATCCTACGCCTGCCCAGCACCTATTCCTTCTCTGTAAACAAGGGGGCCCGCCATTATGCCCAGGTGAGCCCGTGGCCCACTGTCTGCCAAGGTGTTGGGAAACCCCAGTGGTGGGGTTCTTTATTTAGCAGATCAAAGGTAAGGTTTGGGGTGGGTGACTCCCCTTCCCTAAGCTACCCAGTGAGAGTTACTCAGGTGGAACCACAGACACAAGGCAAGGGAGGCAGTGGTCTGGGTACTCAGAAAAGGTCTAGGAGCAAGCAGGGTTGGGAGCTCCTTAAACCCCTCTATTTTTGCCCTTTTCCTCTTTATATCTTTAAAACATTTTTGTGCTAATATAAGAGCAATGTAAGTATGAATGCTGACTTGGAAAAGATGTCCCTAGTGGATTGTTAGGTTAAAAAAAGTGGTTTGTAGGAATGACTATATTTGTGCAAAACCAAATTTTTCTTGAAAATTTGCAAGCATGCAGAATGTGGTTAACAGTGATGCCCTTCTGGGGTGAGGAGGAGGGGAATGGTTCTTCTTTTTACTTTCTATAAGAGCATTTGCTGGAAACATTTCTCTGTATTTATATTTGCCATTGGAAAATAATAAAGAGAAGTAGAAAGATAAAAGTAATAAATATTTGTTAAAGAAGATGAGGAGAGGGAACAAATAATCCTTTCCCTTCATATGCACCAGTGTGTGGAGCATTTTGATCCTGCTCTTCCTTGAATGTTTTTCTTAAGCATTTTTTTAGTTTACTTGCAATTTCAGCATGCATAACTTAACATATTTTCTCCTAATGGAGCAACATGTGATTATGTCTTTTTTAGAATGTCAAGTTTAGGGCTCTTTCCTTTTGTACCAGTAGTTTCCCAGTTCCAACAAGTGATTCTGTTCCCCATCAGCTCCTGGCAGCCACTTGGGTCCAGCATACAAGGAACCTCTCCCTTGGATATATCCAAGCTCCCTGCCTGGTTGTTACCTGAAGAACTTTCATGGAGGAGGGGTTAGAGATAGGGGCAACAAGGCAGAGGGGCCTAGGGATCTCAGAGAGGGGCTGAGAGAGAGCAGGCATTGCTGGAGATGGTTCAATTATATCTGTCAGACTTAGGAGACAACAGGGCCTCAGTCTCAGTTCAATATCAGATTCAATGTGATTCCTCATCCCCTCCTCAGTTTTTAAAAGTAAATTGAGGTCAGGGATCTTTTGGACAGCTTTGAGGATCTTATGAGAAGATGGAAGTGAACTCGCTCTGCAGGGGAAAGCAAGGTGGCCCAGGAGGCAGGTTTTGTGGTGGTATCCAGTGGAGGCTTGGAGGCACTGGTTTCTGCTCTGACCTAAGTGCTGACCTCTAGGGCTGGTTCTGCACCCATAAGCAGGGCCCTGCCCCATTCCACCACTTCTGAAGCTCTTGGCTTTAAGTTGCTACCACCATAACTCTTAACTGAAGTAGCCAAAAGGTAAAAGTTTATCTGTCCAGCTCCAGAGCCTGGTGTCCTGGGAAAGAGGCCCCTTGGTCTCATGTGGGACAAGCAGTCACACTGCATTTGTCATGTCAAGAGTCATGTCGTATCCAAATGCAGTACTGTGACTGTGACTAGCAGTTGGGTAACTGAGGTAGGGTGCGTTACCTTCACCTCTGGCTCCAGGACCAGGGGCAGCCAGTTACTTGGTGCACTGAGCAGACCTGGGCAGGGCAGAGTTGTGGCAGGTGGCTGGGTCTGCAGATTCTGTGGGAATGGAAGACTTATCATTGAGGAGGGCATGAATACTCCAAGGCTAAGCTGGAAACCATTTGGGGGCTCAAGCTGCCCAGAAGCCTTTCTTGCTATTTTCAGGCCAATCCAGCTGCTTGGCTAAGGTGTTCCCTGTGCCCCTCACCTAGATTGGGAAAGTCTGTGTGGAAAACTGCCAGGAATTCAGCGGCATCCATGTCCAGTACAAGCTACAGCCATCCAGCGCCAACTGTAGTATCCTGGGGGTGGTCACCTCAGCTGAGGACACCTCGGGGACACTGTTCGTAAACGATACGGAGACCCTGCAGCGGCCCGAGTGTGCCGAACTCCAGTACACCGTGGTGGCCAATGACCGGCAGGCCCGCAAGCAGGCCCAGGCCCCGCTGCTCCTCACAGTGGAGGGGACATGTGAGTGCCACACGCCATGGAGGGATGGCAGAGCCTACTTCCCTCACCTGCTGATGGCTTCCCTGAGCCATCAATGAGAATAGCAGTGCATACTGCACAACTTAACTGGAAGGACGATGTGGGGGTAGTGTGAACCAACTTAACCCAGAGGAACTGTATGATGAATGGTCACCACTCCTCACCACAGTCAACACATTCTGTATGTGCTCTTTAGGGCTGCCAGGTAAAAGACAGGATCCTGCTTAAACTTAAGTTTCAGGTAAATAACTAGCAACTTATTTGTACAGGTTAAGTGTTTCTAATCTGAGATGCTCCAGAATCTAAAACTTTCTGATCCCCAACATGATGTCACAAGTGGAAAATTCCACATTTAACCCTGTGGCAAGTTGCAGTCAAATGCAGGTATACCAAAAATATTATCTAAACCTACTTTCATGCTATGTGTTTAAAGTGCACAGAAGTATAAGTGAATTTCTTACCCCCCAATATACTCATTATGATATGAAAATATCATAATGATAAAGATCTGGAAAAAAAAAAGCATTTCTGGTCTCTCATATGTTAGATAAAGGACACAGCCTTTTGGATATGTTCTGTGCAACAGCCATTGTGAGGTTTCTTGATAGTCAAACCTTCAAGTATATCCCACAGAAGAGGTATTCATCCTTTATCTGAAACTCAGGTGTAACTGGGCATCCTGTGTGGTGTTTGCTCTGCCTGGTTTTCCTCATATCCCCCTGTCTTTACTCCCCGCTCCCCTCAAGTAGCTGCCTACATTTGTGATCCTCATGTCCCATCCCCCATCCTGTTCCCAGTGCTCTCAGGTCACCCCAAACTTCCTGGTCTTGTGCTGTTCTCTCTGTGGGTACAGGCTGGATGCTGGGCCCAGGCTGGCCCACTGTGACCAGCTTGTCTGCTCCCCACAGATGTGGCTGAGAAGGAAGGCTGCCCCCTATCCTGTGCAGTCAACAAGAGGCGGTCTGAGTGTGAGGAGTGTGGTGGCCTGGGCTCTCCAACAGGCAGGTGTGAGTGGAGGCAAGGTGATGGCAAAGGTAGGTCCCAGGAACCTTAAGGAGACTGGTGCTGGTGGCTACCAGGAGTTAGGGTTGTTGGAATATACAGGGTCCTGCAGGCCCTGCTGGCTTCTACAGTGACCCAACAACCTTGTCCCTTGTATGGCTTCACAATGCCAGGATAGAGGGGAGGGTACGGTCATGAGGGCCTTTGCCATCCTAGAACCCTGGGTTGGATTCCCTCCAGGCTTGGTTGTGCAAAGAACAGAATGGCTCTTCCAGGAGGTCTCAGGCTGGAGGATATAACACCAAGCAGGAGGGACCATTGTTTGCCTCACTGAGTGTGCCTGTGACTACAAAGGTCCTACTCATAGTGTCACCTAAGGGGGTTCTGGCCTCATCTGGCCTTCCTGATCACCATCCCAGGACTGCCCAACCCTTCCAGCCCTTAGAATCCTTGCCTCTCTCACTCCTCGGGGATACTTCCATTGGTGTTAAGGTTTATGTAGTATTTCTCTGCATAAGCTTCAGTTTGCCTCTTCCTAGAGGGGCAGGGTCAGCTTAGGAGGCTGTGGGGAAGTCTGATAGGAGTGGGGCTCTTCCACATGGGGTGACATCCTACCATGTTTCGTGTCATAGGGATCACCAGGAACTTCTCCACCTGTTCCCCCAACACCAAGACTTGCCCTGATGGTCACTGTGATGCCCTGGAGAATCGGAATATCAACATCTGCCCCCAAGACTGCCTCAGTAAGCTGCCCACTCATCTCCAGTGGTGGTATTTAATCAGTGTGCATGGGGACAGCTAGCAGTAGAGAGACTTGAATCTCCCCTGCACACAAAGTGGCTATATCCATTGGTTTGCTACAGCAAGCTGCATTGTGGATGTAACTCAATGGTAGAGTGCCTGCTTAGCATGTATGAAGCCCTGGGTTCAATCCCAGCATAGAAAAAAAGATAAAAGTGTGCTCTGTTAGTTTCACTAAGCATGATTCATCAAGCCAAGCCTCTTTCTAACATTTCGTTTAAACAAAACTTGGGATCCTGGTGACTCCCAGTGTCACACTGGCTGACTCACAGGGCTACAGCCCTCACATCCTGCTGGCTGCTCAGGGCCAACTTTTCCTTTTGGATACCTAAGTACCCATTTTCTGCTTCTGAAAAGTAACCATGTGTAGTGTTTTCTGGGACTCAGCAAGGACCCTGGGCAATCTGGGTTCCTCTCCTATCCCCCATGGCCAGAGAATCATCTTGAGAGCATTGTGTCTAAGACCCCTGCCCAGGTGAGCAGGGCTTCTGAAGTTACTACCGTTGCTGGGTCTGACAACACCGTTGCTTGCTGACATCCAGTGGGGATGGGTGCTTGCTTCCTTAGGACACTACTTTCATAATCTGGGGACCCAGAGGTGGCAGGCTACCCTAGAGGCTGAATGGACTGTGTGTGTATCCTCAGGGGGCAGCATTGTTGGGGGACATGAGCCAGGGGAGCGCCGGGGTATTAAAGCTGGCTATGGCATCTGCAACTGCTTCCCTGAGAAGAAGAAGTGCTTCTGTGAGCCAGAGGACAGCCTGGGTGAGTAAGGGATTGGGGCCCCTACTCAGAGCCCTCCCCCTCCCTGAGCCCTAAGGAGGGTTTCCAGTGGCACTTGTGAGTTTCCAAAAATGAGGAGATTACAGGGAGGCTAGTTGAACCTCACAAGTCTCCTCCCTGCTGGGTCTCAGTTTCCTCATTGAAACAACCCTGGAGAAGGCTTAGGGACCCCTGCAAAGTTCTTCTGGTCCTAAATTTTCTAATGAAGGATGGGGCAAAAAAGCTGTTCTTCCTCCAAATAATTTGTTATCTGCCTAGATTGTCTCTATGTAGGGCTCTTGCTGGGCCCTGACATTGTGCTTGGGACCAACCCTCCTAGCCAAACCATCTAGTCACACCTTCAGAAGCTGCAGATGTGGTAGGAGGTGGAGGCTGCAATGACTATACTGGGGGAAACTTTGATGTCAGCATAGTATTTCTTGGTATCTGAGTTATTACAGGGCCCTAGGTCCCAAGCCTTAAATCCTTTTTTCCTCTCCTTCTGCTTTTTGTGAAAAAAAAGTACCAAAGATATTTGAAGCAGAGGAAAACTTGTTGCTCACATGCCTTTGCTATGACCTCAGCAGGTTTCTCAACCTCTCTGACTATTTTACCCTCCTCTCTGGGAGGGTACTAGCAGGTTACCCTCCTACTAGGGTAGGGGTCACATACACAGCAGCACCTGAATTCAGTGGGTTCCATTGGCCAGCTCACAGGAAACTTATCATTGTGCCCCTGCTGCAGGCCCATTGTGTGATGAGTTGTGTCGCACAGTGATCGCAGCAGCTGTCCTCTTCTCCTTCATCGTCTCAGTCCTGCTCTCTACCTTCTGCATCCACCGCTACCACAAGCATGCCCACAAACCATCCATTGCCTCTGCTGAGATGACCTTCTGTCGGCCTGCCCAGGCCTTCCCGGTCAGCTACTCCTCATCTGGTGCCCGCCGGCCCTCACTGGACTCCGTGGAGAACCAGGTCTCTGTGGATGCCTTCAAGATCCCGGTGAGGGTCCCCAAGAGATCTGGGAGCAATGGGAAAGTGTAAAGGAGAGAGACACATGGGGTTTCCTTACTAATCTGTATCTCACAGCTTGGGGCTCGGCAAACAGCCCATAGGTGACCCCATGCATCCTTGCCCACACACCTTGCATCACCACCAGGAGGCCCCCTGCCTGCCCTGAGTTGCTTTCCAGTGAAGGAGACTGGCTGTGAGACAGGTGATCCTGTGGGTATAGTCTGATGGGTACTAATTTAGACAGACTGGGGTGTCAGTTGTGAGGAGCCCAGGGAGGGTAGAGTGGGCCCCACCTAGTAGGGGAGGTATGAACAGAAGCCCTAAGGTGGAGGCCAAGTAATGAAGTTCCCACAAGCCTTCTTAGAGGCTGGAGCCCCTATGGGTAGGAGTCAGGCACGGGAGGCCTGTGTTCTGCCATAATTTCCATTCTGTTGGGAAGCCTGGGGCAGCAGTAGTCATAGGTGTGGGCCTGATGAGGTGTTATCTCATCCAGGCCAGATGTGTTGGAGGGCCAGGGCTTAGCCAGGGTGTAGCCAGAGGAGAGCATGTCTGCTGGCGTGGAGGAAGAAGGCACTGAGGGTGGGGAGGACCATGGCAGCCAGAGCCCACAGGCATCAGAGCCCACTTCTGCTGGAAGCCCCCCCCCCCCCCCCCAAATCCTGACCAAACCTCCCCTGGTCCTGCCATGCAGTCTCTGCCCTTTTCTTCCAGGTGGGCCTGCCCCTTCGGCATCCTGCTGGCAGGTATTCTAGGAGCTAGAAGCCAATCTGGGTTTGGGGAGTAGCCCAGGAAAGTGCTCTGAGGGCCTGGAATATGCGAACAGAGTGAACCAAGAAGCTTGGGCAGCAAGCATTACGAAGTATACAACTTTGCAGGATACAAAGTACCCAGTACCCAGTGGCCCTTGTGCCCAAGCAGGTCCCATTTCAGGCTAGAAGATAGTTGGGATTACTAGGAGTGGCTTTGCCTGGGGCCTCTGCCCTGGGGCATGTTTGGCAACACCCAGTCCTTGATCAGAGTCAGGACCACAGATGTGGTTCCTGCTCTCTCCCTCTGGACCCTCCTAGACTGTAATTCCCATCTCCAGCAGCATCTTGGCCCTTCAGCAGGGCTCTGGATGAGCCATCAGAATCCTCCACAAACTCAGTGTGGGGTTAGGCTGCACAGAAAGGCTGTGCTGGCTGGGTACTGGATTTGTCTATGGGTTCTTGGGGAATGTAAGATAAGACCAAGATAGCCCAGGAGCTCTATGCTGTTGAGAGGAGGCCACCTGCACATGCCTATGCAGATATCAGAGAGGGTGACTCCGGAACTAGAGTAATAGATTCTACTGAACCATCTTTGTGGATGGGGGAACCTAGCAGAGCCATCATGAGCTTCAAAGAGACTTGTACAAGGAGTGACACATGCCTGGTGCCAGCACAGTGGAAAAGGGTTCCTGACAGGCTTTATCCCCATCACAATTCAAGTACCTGGGGCACAGCTGGATCTGGGAAGGTGTCCAGAGAAATCATAATTGGGACTTGGTTGGGAGGGCATAGAGGATGGCATTCCAGACACAGATTAAGTGGAGGATGTGGTGATCCCATGTATGCAAGATGGGCCTATGAGAGGAGCATCTGCTTCCATGCTTCAGGTTAGAGGTTTCCCAAGGAGCTCAGTGGCACCTTTTTGTTGTTGTTGTTGGGACAACCACACAGGGAAGTTGCCCTGGATGTTTCCATTATAGTTGAGGGTTCTGGGCTAGCAGGTGGCCTCAGCCATGGATGCCCATTTGGTCCTCTGGGAACCTCAGGGGGATCAGGAAGAACAGAGCCTGAGCTGCAGTCAGCATAAGTATTCATGGGTGCCAGGCAGTCTCAGGACTAACTTGAGAAACAGGGACTTGAGTCCTGAGTGGTTCAGGCATGTTCAGTAGACTGGCATTGAGTCCAGACCCCTACTTGAGGAAACCCACCATGGAAGGGCACTCAGAACCTGGCCATGGGCTTCTTTTTTAATGGAGCACATATCATTAATCCTAGTTTAGATGATGACCAGTTCTTCACATGCTTGCCCTTTTCCATGGCGGGGGGGGGGGGGGGGGGGGGGGGGGCGGCGCTCCTTGATGGCCTTGCCTTCATCCTTTCCTGTTCCTTCACACATTTCTCTCCTTTTCTTCTGTCCCACCCTCAACCTCAATGTAGGAGGATCCAAAGTGGGAATTCCCTCGGAAGAACTTGGTTCTTGGAAAAACCCTGGGAGAAGGCGAATTTGGAAAAGTAGTCAAGGCAACGGCATTCCGTCTGAAGGGCAGAGCAGGGTACACCACTGTGGCTGTGAAGATGCTGAAAGGTACTCATCTAGGCACCTGCATAGGCACATACTGGAGTCACCAGGGTGTGTGGGGCCCTTCCCATTGCTGTTAAGGAGCAGCCACAATCTGGGCATCTCCCACAGACATATGCTAGCTGGGTACATGGCCAGTGGTCCTAGGGAAGCAGAGTAAGGATTTCTTCTTAGAAGGTGCTAAGGATGCTATTTCTGCACTGTTGTCCATGAAGAGCCTGGGGTTTAAAAAACTAACTCATTTTATCCTATCATCCCAGATATAGAGCACCTATAAAAATTTAAATATAGTATATAATATATAATTATATAAAAATAATATAATTATGTTATAATGGTTATAGTATCAAGTAATATCATATGTGTAAGCTCTAGATTATGATTTACAACCTATTTTAATGCACCTATATGTCAGTTTCATTGAAATATTTGCAGAATTGAAAACTTAGGACTCATTGGGTCAAAAAGCTCCTTGTTTTTCAGCTGACAGTTGCCCCCACCCAAATCCAGCACATTCATTTCTTTCAGTTAAGTGTCTGCTAGAGTCATGGTAAAGAGATCCTTTATAAGGATTGGCCCAAAATCCCAGCAACCCCTATAGACTTATGACCAGTCATTCCTTGAGTTTGGTTCTTGATGGGCATGCCCACCTTCCTGCACAATACAGGCAGGACTCTGGGCAGAGGCTGTGGCTGCACTGGGTGGACTACATAGCATAAGGTGTTTCTAAATAGTTCCCTAGACCCTCACACTAGGTTCAAACCCAGATCCTGTGAAAGAGCACAGTTAGATCCTTGCAGTCTTAGTGCAGCCCAGCACAGTCCTAACCCACCCAAATCTAGTCCAAGGAGAGGAGTTCTAAAGTCCTATCTTTCAGCTCTTCCTCCTCTCCAGACAAGTGTGGGACAGAGAAAGTGGTGTGACATATTTTAGCCATAGCTTCTGACTCTACCAGTTCCTCCACTCCTAGGTACCTGATGGTAGCCTGAGCATAGCTCTGGTCACCCCTGGAATGTATGTGCTTAGCAGGCCTTTCTGTAAAATCTGGTCATCTGCACAGTGTGCCAAGTACAGTTAAGCTGTCACAGGGGAGTGTGGCAAGCATTCAGAAGGCCCAGGCCAGATGTCCTGATATGCAGCGAAAAGCTAACCTGCCTTACTCAGGTGTGTCCACATTGGTTTTCTGTGGCAACTAGCGCAGTGTGAGCTCCAAAAACACATGTGTGTTCAGGCACATTGGAAATCCCAATATTCCTGTAGGGCTCCAGGCCCATGTCTCAGACAGGAGAGGAAGCCTAGCCTCACCTTTCTGGTGTTTAGGAACATTGAGAGTCCTCTTTCCAGAAGGATTAAGGAAGAGGGTTTTCTGCAGGCCACTGTCTTCTAAGGACTATAACTATAGGGACATGATGCCACTTACACAGCCCAGCCCTGACAAACTTTCTGCAGAAAGGTCTAGCTTACATGGGAGCTTTCTCCCTGGGTTCTTATTGCCTGGGGCACATGAAGTCCCTATTGGCTGTGGGGAGCCTTGAGCATCTGGGTGCTACTCTGTGAGGGAGATGATAATTTGTTCCCCATTGGCCACACAAGGAGCTTCCAGGAGGACCCATGTGCAACATGCTGTTTGTGCTACATTTCAGAGAATGCCTCCCCAAGTGAGCTGCGGGACCTGCTGTCTGAATTCAACCTCCTGAAGCAGGTCAACCACCCACATGTCATCAAGCTCTATGGGGCCTGCAGCCAGGATGGTAAGGCTCAATAGGCAACTGCTGGGCATAGGACAGGAACTCCAGGTGGTTCCATTCTCCCTCTTCTCCCCTTTTCTGTCCTCTCCTTCCCTGTCCCATTTGCCCTTTGGAATCTTGGGCTTCTGGCTCCATCTCTAGCCTGGAGCTTGGGTCTGGCTATGTCCACTGACTTAGCAGGCACTTTCTGTCAAAAGGGCTCCCACCTGTAGCACTTCCTGGGCCTGCTGGGGCTGCTCAGAGATCTCCGATATGACATCCCAGTTGTCAGCACCTGTTCCAAGCTGAGCACCCAGGGCAGGGAGCTCTAGAATGGACAGTTCATCCTGGAAACCTACAGGATACTAGGTGTGCCATGACCTCCTGGTAAACTCTAATAGTAGCCCTGCATAGCAGGAACGTTAGCACTGTCTCAGAGAAGGACACAGTATACCACCCCATCTGCTGGTTTTCCAAGCCAACTGTGCTGCCCTGGGGTTCTAGCAGAGGTCATGTGAAGAGGACAGGGAACAACAGGTAAAAGGCAGCAGGCACCCAGCTCAGTATCATCACAGCTCAGGGCTGGGCCTAGGACAGGACTGCAGCCCTGGGAGCCACCGAGGGCAGGTGGGAATAGGGAGATGACCTGGGAGTAGAGCCACGTACAGCCAAGGCAGAGCTATCAGACTTGCACAAGACTGCCTCAACCAGTGCTCCCTAGCTAGTGTTGTACAGGACCAAAGATTTAGAAAGGCATAAAGTCTTAGTATCAGGGAGGGGTTTCTCCTAGGGCAGGGATGAGCACAGTGGACATCTGTCTCAGGAAGCTTGAAGAAGCTCTCACAGTATTTTGAGGGGGGGGGGTGCCTACACTGGCATCCTGAAGCCAATGGAAAGTGAGTCAAGAGTGAATTGGGTCTTCCAGGTCCTCACAACCCACAGAGCCTCAACTGCTCACTGCCTAGAACAGTACTATGCCTGAACCCACTTGCTGATAGTGGCCTACAGCCTTTCCCTATGCCTGCACTCCCAGAAGCCCAGAGCTGGCATAGCTTTACATGCCCACAGGTGCCTCTCTCTGCCCCCAGGGCCACTCCTTCTCATTGTGGAATATGCCAAGTATGGCTCCCTGCGGGGTTTCCTCCGAGACAGCCGCAAAGTGGGGCCCGGCTACATGGGCAGTGGAGGCAGCCGCAATTCCAGCTCTTTGGACCACCCGGATGAGCGGGCACTGACCATGGGTGACCTCATCTCCTTCGCCTGGCAGATCTCAAGGGGCATGCAATATCTGGCTGAGATGAAGGTGTGTGCCATCTACACTGTTGCTCTAGCCCACCAGGATCTCTACAGATCCTGGCCTGGGGGTTCCTGATGTTTTTTTCCTCACAGCTTGTCCATCGGGACTTGGCAGCCAGAAATATCCTGGTTGCTGAGGGCCGGAAGATGAAGATTTCAGATTTTGGGCTGTCTCGAGATGTTTATGAAGAGGATTCTTACGTGAAGAGAAGCAAGGTAATTGTTTGTCCTATCTAGCAACCCTGGATTAGGGGTAGGGTTAGCTGCGGAGGGAGACATGTGGTACTGCTGGGTGTCACAGAGTGGGGTGTGCCCATAGAACATCTAGAAAAGATGAAACAGACTTTTAGATTACTGAACTTTTTCTAGACTTCAATCCCAAATCTTCCCTCAGAGACCCCATTCAGGCTCTTACTGTGTCTGATCCTTCTCTTCCTGAGGTCCCTTCATGACTTTTGTAGCCATTAATCGTCACTTTCTAAAGTTAACTAATTAATTCTGTAAAAATAACAATCCCCCTCTCCAAAGTTATCCCTCTTGATTCTACAGAATAAAAGGCTACCATCTACCATCTGTATAACTTTATCTCTTTGCTTAAAGAAAGGTGAAATGAAATAAACAGAAGCTTGGCAATCATTGTATGCAGAAAGGGATGGAATGCTTCACAAGGAGGGTCTCCCATAGAGGCCTGGGACCTTTGGGCTGGGTGAGCTTGAAAGTACAGGGAGTTCCTGAAAGATGGAGTCCAGTTTAGGGTTCTTGGGAACTTCCTCCAAGCCTACAAAAAATGTGGGACATCTGATTTCCCAGCATTGTCCTGTTCCTTTGGCAGTTACCTCGACCCTCTTAGTTTTGTTTCTTACTCCCAAATCTTTCCAGTGATGGCCCAGGTGAGGCAAGTTCAAGGGTCCCATTGACTAGGCATTTAGAGAGAACCCCACTCAAAGAAGAAGAAAAAAAGCACACAAAATGCAACTTTTTACGGTTCAGTTTTACTCTACAGGGTCAGAAGCAGTTTGTGTTGCCACTTATTGTGAGGACCATGTTTGTCTTCTGAGGTTTCCATTGTGACAGCATATCTCAGAACTGCTAAAGGGAAGTGGAAGGGGCTGCTCCCCGCACCAGGGATAGTGTGACAGCCTTCCTGTTGACACATGGATACTTCTGGAGGCCTTGTGTCCTCTATGGAGTGGATTGGACAAGGCATCACCCACAAGAGTCATTGCAGCCATCTGAGAGCACAGGCTGCCAGGACTCTGCAGTCAGCATTGTTGAGAACACGGTCATGCTTCATTAAGTACATAAGTCCTAAAGAATATGTTCAAGAAAAAGAAATTATAGCAAATGTTGGGTTAAAATCCAAGGCATGCATTTTTAAAATTAATTTGTTCTCAAGACTTATAGATGGTACATACCTATAGTTCCAGCTACTCAGAAGGATCACGTAAGCCCACAGGTTCAAGACCAGCCTGGGCAATATAGCAAGAGCCCATCTCAAAAAAAAGAAAAGAAAAAAGAAAGAAAGAAAAGAAAAGAAAGAAAGAAAGAAAAAGACTTACCCATTGAAAAACTATTCCTCAAGTTGCATTGTAAAAGATTGGTTTCCTGTCATGGGAGATGTGAGAGAGACTTGTTCAGAGATGCCAAAAGGGCCCTGGGAAGAGGGAAAATTCAGCCTCAAGAGCCATGAACAGATTTCTTCCCTTAAATCTTCTTCAGAAGAGCCTTTAGAGTTGGTTGCTACCAGAAGTCCCCAAGATAGAGCTGGGATATAGCTCAGTGGTAAAGCACTTGCCTAATATCTGCAAGGCCCTGGGTTCTATTCCCAGCAGGGAGAAAGAAAAGGGGGGGGGGGAGAAGAAGTCCCTAAGACAGGGTTAGTTTTTCGAGCACATGTGCCTTGAGAACATCAGGACGTATCTTGCTGGAGAATTCTTGGCCCTCTGTTTGCCCCATCCAGGACTTCCCAAAGCCCTCACATTGTTGCTTCCTTGGGTTTTTTCCTTAGCAGAGATGTGGTGCATGACAAATCACCCTATGTGGCTGTGGGCAGCTGCCTAATTCCTGCCCCCATCTCGCAAAGCTCAGGAAATTCAGGCTGGACCTCCAGCTCCTTTGAGGCTGTGCTGTGCATTGTTAATCCTATACTTAGGTCTTGGTACTCAGGACTCCCTCCAGAGCTGTAACTCAAGGGACATGACTGACCTCTTCTTCCACCCTTGGTTTCTAAAGCTTCAGAGTAACATTATTGCCTTTCTTCCACCTCCTCTTTAGGGCCGGATTCCTGTCAAATGGATGGCAATTGAGTCCCTTTTTGATCATATCTACACCACCCAAAGTGATGTGTAAGTGTGGATATTGCCATTCTGGGGTGGGGGTTACAGAGGCCACAACGCCCATCTGTTCAACTTGGCCAGGGAACAGGCTGGCTGCAATACCAGCCATCTACAATGACCCCTGAGCTGAGGGATTTTAACATATTCATTCAACAATTGGTCAGGCCCAGGTACCAGTTATGAAAACCAGTGGAATGGGAGCAGTTGGTCAAAAACCTTTCTCCCTCCATTCACCTTTTCCACACCTCCCTCCTCATCTCTGGCCAAATGTGGCCAAACAGTTCCCCTCCTGTGGATCTGTGGCAAGGTCAATTCAGGCAGAATACCCTGAGCTGTTCCCCCACCCATAAGAGGGACTTGGGGGGAGCTTCCACTTGGAGATCTCTTTACATGAGTTTTTGGGCTGGTGTATCTCAAACTGCTCAAAGGTAGGAGCTAAAATTTGTTCTTTCAGGTTGGATGAAACATGATTGATTCTAAAAACATAACATGCTTGCTTCTAAAGTGTTCTGCAATCCATAAATATGCAGATCTTGAATAACATGGCTGTGAAAATGCCATTCTTAAGCAGTTTTAAACAATAGATTCCTGATTATGTAAGTTGAATTGAAAAATTCAAAGACAAATACAATGGGAAGATTAAAGTTACTTGGACCAAACTACCCTAGTCACTCCTGCTGGCATCACAGGCTTGGCCATCCAGCATCTTTGGTGGTGTAGGTGTATATACTTTTTATAAGTGGGCTCATGTGATGTATGCTATTTTGTGATATTTTTATTCCCACTTCATAGTAAGTTTTCACTAACAGTTTAATATTTTTCTATAACATTTTTCTCCTCTAAGACTTTATGAAAATTTCCTGACACACAGAAATGGTGAAAGGAATGTCGCCCTTGTAGCTCTTCCATGGCAATGGCTTGTGTGAGGACGTCAGCATCCCTGGGGTTGGGTGCCAAGCAGGCAGTCCTTTCCCACTTCCATGCTGCATCCATCTGTGCAGCTAGACCCAGGCTGAAATCTGTGCACATTGGGCCATTCTGGCACTGGGGTTGATGGGGTCAGCAGCTGCTGGGGGAATGTATGTCTGGGTTCTAACAAGGATGCCCAGATGAAGACACTCACTGGTCACTTGCTCACCACAGGTGGTCCTTCGGGGTCCTACTGTGGGAGATCGTGACCCTGGGGGGAAACCCCTACCCTGGGATTCCTCCTGAGCGGCTCTTCAACCTTCTGAAGACAGGCCACCGGATGGAGAGGCCAGACAACTGCAGTGAAGAGATGTGAGCAGGGTTTACAGCTGTCCTCTGACACGAGCACACTGGGCTTTGGATGGGAGGAGACACCATCACCCATTTCCTCTCCACTCCTGAACAGCCCTGGGCCATCAACCCTAGGAAATCTGGGTAGTGGGAGTGACAGGACGAGGTTAGAGAGCCAGCCTTGGTTGTGGGGCAGATACGGGAACCCCTGGCCCCACTGGGAGCTAATGGGCTTTTGGGAACTTTTAAGAATGAATAGGAGCAGGGACCACTATAGTGTGAGCTTAAAGCATCCTGCAGGTTGCTTGAGGAGGAGCATGTGTTGGAGAGTCCCAGGTGGAGGCAGAGTCAGGCAGGGGCTGCCCTAGGGCACTAGAATCATGATTCTTTGTACCAGTTCCAAGAATCCTGGTGGAAAACAGATGAGAGAGGGCCATCCAGTGGCAAAGATGAGTTGGTCCACTCCTGTCACAGTCTGCCCAACTTGGGGCAAGGTGAACCATGCCAGGGCAAGGAGGTACTCCCTCCCTGAATGCCCTGGCTTTCAGTCAGCCTCCCAAGTACATACCCGTATCATAGCTTCAGAGCCCTGTGGCTATGTGCAGTTTTCTGGGAAAGCAGGAAAGGTGCAAGACAAAGATGTGATTGATTGCCAAAAGTTTTGTTCCTTTCCACACCTAAATCCCTTAGTTGGTTTATTCTTCATAAGAGTTTTAAGGATTAGCACTTCCTACTCAGCTACCATAGTAGATGCAACATCTGGTTCACTATCTGTCAGTGTCTTTGTAATGAAAGATATGCTAGACCACAGTGCCTGGTGCCCTAAGCCCCTGAGTTCTCAGTGAGGCTCAAAGATATTAACAATGCATAAACATTGGTGAGGTCTGGGTACAGAGCCCCCCAGAGGTATCATGCTGGATGTGGTGGCCCTGCTGGGTGGTCCTGGTGAGACCTGGCCTTGCTGGGTCATCACTACCTGTCTACTCTTCCCTTCAGGTACCGTCTGATGCTGCAGTGCTGGAAGCAAGAACCGGACAAGAGGCCAGTGTTTGCTGACATCAGCAAAGACTTGGAGAAGATGATGGTCAAGAGCAGAGTGAGTCTCAGAGCTGTTTCCCTCAGGCAGAGGTGGAGGGGATTCCAGCCTCACCCCTAGAGCACTGGATTTAGGCTCTCTGAGTTCCCAGGGTAAGACCACACTAGTGCTGGCCAGAGGGAGAGAGTCATGCTGTGTATCAAAGGTAGACAGCAGATTGAGCCTGCTTCTCAAGCCAGGCCCCTTGAGCATCTTTTCATCTTGAAAAATACATGATTCTTAGCTTGTCACTTAGGAAGAGCTCCCCAGAGACAGGCATACAAGGAGAATATTCCAAACCAAAGGAGATCCTTTGCTGTAATGAAATAAGAGAAAGTAGAATTGAAGCAGGCATCCTATATGCCTACACCCTGAGGTGTCTGGCTCTGGGGGTGGGCAGTAACTAGGGAATGGTGGGGACTGTGACACACAGGACCACTCCAGCCAGCCTTTCTAAAGGACCCCTTGCTGTCACGATGTGTGGTCTACAGAAATAGGCTTTCAATCTTTTGAATTTTAAAAGGTTTATGTTAAAGGTGGGTATAGTGGTGCACATCTGTACTCCTATCTCCTTGGGAGCCTGAGTCAAGAGTATCACAAGTTTGAGGTCAAACTGGACAACTTAGCGAAATCTTGTCTTAAGATAAAAAGGGCTCAGGACATATAAGACCCTGGCTTCAATCCCAGCACTGCACCAAAAGAGAAAAAAAGGAAAAGGTTTATGTTACATCTGCCAGTTTTTATTGTTAACAACTCATTTAAATTTCCCAAAGCCCAGTGTGGGCCAAAGGAAACTTGCCTGGGGGTCCAGCATCAGCCTGCACATCTTCAGTTTATAATTCTGTAAGTAAATGAGAAAGTCACCAAAATTTTGGGTCGATATTTATTGAGTGACTATTATGTACTATATTCTATCTTATCTGCAAGTAAGCAAGACTAGGCCAGCCTACTCTTACACTGCTTACATAGAAGTTTCATCTTCACACTGGTAGATTTACTGAAAGTCATTTTCAAATTTAGTAGGGTGCACAACCTAGGCCTGCCCTAACAAAACTTAACATTGTTATTACTTGGGCAAATCTCTGATTTCTGTGAGTACAGGATTGTCCTAAACAGAGGTAGTTGCTGATACCAAAAGAGCTGGCCTTCCTAGAACAGTGCTAAGAAACATATAGGAAAATGCTGGAACCCTCTGCACTTGTTTAAGTAGGACAGTACAAGTAACTGGGGCACATTGTACTTGGGAGCTGAAGCCTGTAGTAGCATCCCATGTAAAACCAATATCAGTGACATATGTCAGATTTCTAAGCCTTGATATGATATTCTAGATGGCAGAGGCCCTTGGAGGGAAGCTGAAAAGCATCCATCAGATTGAAGCTGCTTCTTGGTATGTGTTGCTTCAGCCTGAGGAATGTGGCCACAGTGAGCTGTCCCAGGGCCTCTCCCAGTTTATAACTAAACTGGTTCCCCAACCCTCCACTCAGAGGTAGGCTGGACATGGCTGGATGTGGCAGACCAGGCTGTATGGCACCTGCTGCCCTGTAGGCCCTGGAGGTACAGTGCTGAGAGAACACATTTGTTTCTAGGAAATGACTTTCCATGGGGAGAGAGGCAGAATAGATAACACCCAGGTCCAGGAAAGATAGGAGCCTAGGGCTCAGTGCCTGCCTCCTGGGTGAGGGGCTTAGGTCTTAAAGAAAGGTCGAGCACAGAGGGAGTTGCAGACAATGCCTCTGCCCTGGCATCCAGAGTACTGGGGTGTTTCCAGAAGTGGCCCAGGGTGGGGGTGACAGGCCATTTTTCTCTTCCAGGACTACTTGGACCTTGCTGCATCCACCCCATCCGATTCATTGCTTTATGATGATGGCCTCTCAGAAGAGGAGACACCCCTGGTGGACTGTAATAATGCTCCCCTCTCTCGCACCCTCCCTTCCACATGGATTGAAAACAAACTCTATGGTAGAATTTCACATGCATTTACTAGATTCTAGCAACGTTGTTCCCTTCTGCACTATCTTTACTCTCTGTAATGCTTTTTAAGAGTGTTTCCGATCTGAATGAAACCAAAGTCCACTCTGAACCTTTTTCTTTGTAAATGTCTGACTTTGCATCCAGTTTATATTCAGGCATTTTTGCAACTATGTCTTTCTAAAAGGATGTGAAAATAAGTGTCATTACCATACCGCCCAGCAACTTAATATGATAGAGAAGAAACACTTCAGGGCAGAATTCTCAGGGGACATTGAGAAAATGATGAATAAGTGACTTCCAGGGTGGGAAGCAAGACACAGTACTTCTGATTTAGTTACTTGGATAAATTTACCTGATCTGGGGGAAGATTTAAATTAGAAGTGAGCAGATGGCATCCCCGGCCTGCACAGCCACGGGACCCCCAGGTTCCTCCTGGGCTGGTGAGTGCCTCCATGAGGCTTCCCAAGTCCCCACTCCCAGCCATGTGTCCACCATCAAGGGCAGTGAACAGCTGGAGCCAAGCAGGCCCTGGGCAGGCATACCAGACTGCTGTTTTCACATCCTTCGCATTCCCCCTTCCCCATCACAACCGTTGTCACTTACAAAGCCAGTGCTAAACACTGGAGCCACTGCTTTTGAAAGAATGTAGTCTGTGGTGCTGTGGCCTTGCGATGGACAGTAAATATGGTTCTTGCCAAAACTCCTTCTATTGTCTTGGATTAAATACTTGAAATTTTTTTCTGCTTTCTAACTTCATCATTGACCATTTTGAAATCTTGGAGTTTCAAGCATTTCTCAAGCTGAGATTGTTCCTCCTGCATGCTACCGAACTCATGGAGTCCTCACTGGCTTTGGGTCTGGCACTACATACATGCCATGTGTGCTGACAATACTGTGGGGTGGCCTGCGTGCACCCTCCATGGGGAAACTCTTCTCCTCCATTATAGGCTGGGATGACAGATGAATAGGCCCCTTTGCTTTACAGAATGTTTTTATGGAATGTTCCCACTGCAGTAAGCCATTTAATGTAGCAATGTGCTGATGCTTTATGCTGCTTCAGGAAAAAAGTTAAGCAGTTCAACAAATATGCATCAGATTTGAGAGTCTGAATCTCATAAAAGTCAAAATTGATAGTGTCTATTAAATTACATTTACCAAGAGAGCACGTGATATTTCCCCTAAGTAGAACAGTGTTTTGGAAACCTGGAACTCAAAACTGTTACTGTAATTGGCACAGAAAACACGAGTTTGGTTTGAACATCAAAGGGAGTTTTGCCAAGGCCTTACTGTCTGCACATGAAGTTTGGGTTCTTCAGTGCAGAACAAATTATCTGTTTTCATTTTTAGGCATGTCAGACCCGAACTGGCCTGGAGAGAGTCCTGTACCACTCACGAGAGCCGATGGCACTAACACTGGGTTTCCAAGATATGCAAATGATAGTGTATATGCTAACTGGATGGTTTCACCCTCAGCGGCAAAATTAATGGACACGTTTGATAGTTAACATTTCTTTGTGAAAGGTAACGGAATCAGGAGGGGAAGAAATATGCTGACAATGGAAAGCCCACCGGCCCCTTTTTGTGTACATCACACTGGCCAAGCTAAGGTCAGTTTCTAGGTGGCAGACTCATTTTCAGTAGTATATTGTAACTGATTTCCAAAGTGGTTTTACTTCCAATAGTTGGGGATTTCCCCTCCTAACAGACATGCCCCACTGGAAGAATGTTCTGAGTCTTAGTGGTTAAATATTCCTTTCTCTTTGGCACCAGGCAGTGCCTCTGTTGGTCTGTGTCCATCATTAACCACCATGTACTCTGTGTTCATATGTGTGGGTCTGCCACTTGCTACCTTGTATAAGAAATTGTACCCGAACTGTTTGATTTTTCTGGTTGCCCAAACAATGCAACAAGGTTTAAACATGAAGCACACACACCAAAAAAGGCAGTCTGAAAAAACTGGCCAAAATGACCTTTGTTCAAAATGAGAGGCAGGTGGAGCCTGGGTGGTGGCATCAAAGCTCCACCAGGGATGTAGGGGAAAGGGGAACCTCAGGACAGGCCTCGGCTCAACATTTGAAATCCTGAGAATGGTTTTTAAAAATCATGTAGCCTTTTTTTAGGAAGATATTTAGTTTTTATCATGATTAAAATGATTCTTAGATTTAGCACAATGGAGAAATTTGATGCCGTCTTTGCTGTGTACATGGCGGCTTGAGGAAAAGGGCTCACCAGACATATTTGTCCCCACTGGGCTTACTACACTTTCCTCACTGGGCGACCACTATTCATGGACCAGAACGGGATGAAGAAAGAGAGCATGGAGTGAGTGGAGTGTCCTCAGTCCCAGGATTGCTGACAGCAGAGGTCTTTTGCTGTGAATACCGCCATCCTGCAGTGCACCCCACTGTCAAAAATCAGCACCTCATCTTCTGCATTAGGAGTAGGTGGAGCTTGTGCACATTTTATTTGGTATCTTATCCACCCACTCCTAAAGGTACAGTGTGTTAAAAGTAGCATTGACAGGAAACCAAGGACTGCTACACCTCTGTTACAATTCTGATGTGAAGACAATGTTTTGGCTCTTATAGAGTTCATGTGAAAAGGCACATGGATGGGCTCTTCCTGTGTTTGTCATTTAATGCTGCTATAACAAGACATTTTGGTTTCTTCAGTTCTGACCATGACTCATACATAAGCTTCTTGTCATTCTCCACCACTAGTTTGTGGTCACAGACACTCAGCACTCCTCTAGATTTGTGGGGGTGGCTCTTGGGAAGTCCCAGCAGCTCTTTTGGCTGTCCCAGCACTGTCACTTCACAGGAAAGGGTCGCATTACCAAAACACTGCCTGGTCTTCAGACTTAAAGCACTGTGATAGGACTTTTAAATAGTCTCGGTAAAATACTGTATTTTGTAGGCATTTCACAAACACAGTAAAATTATGGCACTTTGTGGCCAAGAAGGCTTGGATGAGTATGTGATAGAGCCTTATGGTATTTGTGAGTACACATGTGTACTCACACATCTAGAGAGAGTTGGAAAATGCTTATTTGGACATGTAACATGGCTTTAATTTGGGCCATTTTTCAGATAGACTGTGAGAACTTCCTTTACAAATATCTGTAGTAGTGGCAAACTTTTGGTTTTCTGATGTGCTTAGTGATAGTTTTAGTAAATGCAGAAATAAGTATAAACTCTCAAATTATTAAAAATAAAAATGCCTACATAGTAAGTGTGAATTGTTAACAGCAGGTTTGTTCTCATGGGATAAGAACTGTGAGTCCAAACAGATGATGGGGAATTAACATTTGACTAATAACCAGTTGTCTGTCTATTCCTGAATTATAAAAGTACCCCTACTTGTTAGTCCTATCAGATGGGATTTTCATATACATATATACAGAAGTTACTAAGTATTAAGTATTACCAAGTATTAAGTAGCAATCTGTCAGCTATTAAAATTTGTAAAATCCATTTATGAAAAGTTGTTAAACCATACCATGTTAACTTGCTTTTGTAATCAAGGTGACTAAGGAAATAATTTCAGTTGTGTAAATAAAATTATGTATCATAAGATGTGTAAAGTTCTTTTCTCTTTTTAACTTCATAGTTGGAAACATCAGATCTTTGATTCTGAAGTTTCCATACAAGTATTAAAATGTCACAAGAGAATGCATTATGGTAGCCACTGGGGACTGGATAGTGATCAAGGACCATGGGCCCTTGGTGACTTTACTGGCTCATCTTGCACAATATGCATTAAAACCTGGCACATGGATAATAACTGCCAAAGCTCAGCTAATTCCACCGTTCAAAGAATTCCTTCCTTCAGGCTACTTTCCCTAAGATAAAGAAGAAGCAAAGCTGAGTTTAGGAATTCCAATTCTCTAGCAATTCCTTGCAGCTCATTTCTTGAAACTGGAGTTGAGTTGTATCAAAGAGAAAATATTATTGAGTATTAAGTAGCAATCTATCAGCTATTAAAATTTATAAAATTTACATAGTAATGCATGAAGATCCATTAGAAAAGAAAAATTGCTGTCCTGAACCACTATGGTACTTAACACACTTACTGCTTCTGTTTATGTCTTCTTGGTGTGTATTGGAATTCCTTGAGATATTCCTCCAGTCTGATCAGTTAACAAACATGACTTGTTAGCAACAGAAATCTGACTCTGTGATCACATTGTTCATTGAACTCCAAGTGCCTACATCATTTCCACTGCACACGTGTGTGTACACACAGGCCTGTGTGGGTATCACCCAGCTGCTGCCCCAGCCCTGCAAGGCCACAGCTCCAGGCCCTCTGTGTCTATATCTGCTCATAGCTTCCTCTTTCAATCTGGACCATGAAGGCTAGAAAGAAAATGAATGTTATGCTGCACAGGTGGCTCTGGGCAATATTTGTCCTCCAACTTCCAATGGACCTTTACTCATAACTATGCATTTTACATCTCTAGAGTCAGTTATTCACTTCAGCCTTTGTCTAGGATTATTAAGAAACCCAGGCTGAGAAAAGCTAATGATAACATCCCCTTTTTCAAGAGCATAGATCCTCCATGATGAATGTATGTTTTTTTGTTGTTTTCCCTAAAATATTTTTTTTCACTAGCCTCCATGAAAGATTTCTTCTTGCCAGCTTATTTGGGTGGAAATCTAGTTGATTTTTTTTCTGAAAGCAGGTCTTGAATAAATACTACATGTATAAAAGAAAATTCAAAAGGGAAAGCATAATTTCCACCTGTACAAAGAACGCATTCTCCCATCCCCGGTTCCTCTCCTTCCTTCAAGCATATTCACACATAGCATATTTAGCTGTCCTTGCAACTGGAGGGTTGTTCCAGGAAGTCCTAGGAAATCTGTTCTTCCATGTCTGTGAACAAGGCATAGTAAGAGTGAGGCTGAGGGCACATACAGCTGTGCCCCTCACATTTCCAGTGTAAAACTTGATTTTTGTTCTTATGTACAGTCAGAAAGCCACTTCCCTCTTCTTCACAGCAATGGCATTGACTAGAACTTTGTAGAGTCTCCCATCTCGTTAGGAGAAGAGAAATGGAGCTAGAACTCACATGAGGGACCATTTTAGCTAAGAACATAGAAAACACAGCATGTGTAGAGAATGGTTCAATTTGGGCACATTGCTGTGTCCACAGAGAGGTACAGTGTGTGGCCATCTAAAGTTACAAGGGTGAGCTTCACTTCCAGAGTTAAGGAGGCAAACTCAGTGAACACCACCCACCCACCCACCCCCAAAACATTAGTTAATCTTTGAAACTGTGATATTTTTGAGTGTTATATCAAGTGACAAGATATTTTTGCAGATGTTATAGACTCTGTGAAATCACAGGACCTGGCCAATTGACATCTCACAGCTAGAGACAAGACAGAGGAATCTTAACAAGGGCTACATCTCACTGTGGTGGCTACAGGGACATCAGCATTTCAGGGAACTCAGCCGGACAGCATGGAGGGAGCCTGTGGCCCAAGACCACCCCATCCACTGTGACTTCAGCAGATCCCCACCATACCAGGAAAGACCATAAAGCTACATTGAGCAATTTAAGTTAAAAATAAATGTCAGCAAACAAGGTAAGGAAAGTGCATTCTGAAACAAACAAAAAAAAATTGTTGGTTTTTTTTTTTTTTTTTTTTGAGAAGAGTTTCTGTATTTCATACATAAGCAGTACTTTCTATGCGAATTATCAACTTCTTAAATAAAAATATGAAGCTTATTTTAAGTGTCTGAATTTTATCTTTGTCATTGCTGTAAAGAGTACCAAAGCAAGCATGTAAGTATGTCCATTTTGACTGCTCTCATTTCTCACTGCCCTCCAATCCTTTTCTGCATCTGCCTATGGAGGAAGGGATCTATGAAGGATTAAGAAGGGTCTAAGTCCAAGTGAAAAAGTACATAAGGCTGCCTGTGTTATCTGAGGCAAGCAACCTTGGCCAGAGGACTGTGGGGACCAGGTGGTGCCTCATTGTGGAGTCTCTCTTCTCACCAAGGCACTCAACTTCTCCATGTTTCATGCCTTTCTTCTGAGAATTTTAAAGAACTTGAGGATTTTTCTGGAAACTGTGGATCCAGGGCCTGGGAAACTGAAAACTTCAATTACTCAGAACCCCATGGTAAAGGAATACATTGAGGGTTTGGGGGATTTCATCAGTGTCTGGAAAGAAAGATGAATTACAGTTAGGGATTTTTAAGAATAGGAATGATGTTGTCGATGGAAGAATTCTGACTTCTCACATTTGAAAGAAGTAAAGGGAGTATCATGGGAAATTGTATCTTTTGGAGATGTCCAAACAATTTGCATATACTGTAGTCACCCTTATTGAAGAGATATGTTCCAAGATCCCCAGGGGGTACCTGAAACCACAGATAGTACCAAACTATGTATCGATAACCAGAATGGACACTAAGTGACAAATGGATGGGTAGTGCATACAGCATATATATGCCAGACAAAGGGATGATTCATGTCCTGGACACGATGGAGCAAGAT